AAAAAGAAATAGCTGCATACAGTACACTAAGGAAAAAGAAAACAAAAAAAAAAAAAACGCTTTTGTTTCCATATTGTGGAGATCATTTTGATCACATCATTTTATGTGCTCATACGTACAAAGCTATAGAGCTATTGTGATCCGCTGCTAGGACTATCCCAGACATATACTTATTTTTACCAGTGATGGCAACTGTGGGGCCTATGTTTCTTTGGGTCTGGCTTATATCACTTAATATGATTTTAATATGAATGTGGATGTTTCTTACATACTAAACATTCTCTCGGCACAAGCTGCAGCAACTGCATAGTATTTATACAAATAAAAGGAAAACTTATTTACACAAATGTTCATAACAGCTTTATTTATAGATGCCAAAGCAGAAAGTAACCAAGATATCCTTCAATAAGTGAATGGGTGCTATGACACGTTCCAGACAACTTAACGTTACTCAGCATTAGAAGGGAATGAACAACTAAGGCATTCAAAAGCAATGGAAGAAGCCTAACTGTGTATTACTAAAGGCAAAGAACCTACAAACTATGGGATTCCAACCATGGAACTTTCTGGAGAAGGCCAAACTATGGAGACCATAAAACATCAATGTACGCCAGGGGTTAGGAGAAGGAAGAGGGATGGATGAGGTAGCAGAGAGGATTGGGGGACAGTGAGACAGTTCTGTATGATGTCATAAGACACCTTGACGGAGGATTTAGTCACACAAAACAGTAAGTCAGCTCTGATGTAAATTCTGGACTTGTGATGCATGATGTATTAACGATGGCTCATAAATTCTAGCCACTTTATCACATTGCTGCATGGTGTTAATAAAAAGAGGATTACTGGAGTGCTGCCCACACCGGTAAACCCAGCTACTCAGGAGGCTGCGTTCAAAGGATCACTTTGTACCTCCAATCGGCTAATTTGAGGTTAAAAAAAAAGCCAAAATGGACCTGTGGCTCAAGTGGTAGAGTGAAAAAGCTATGGGACAATCCCTGGCCCTAAGTTCAAGACCCATAAGAGAATGAAATAAACCTTAAGATACAAACTATGTAAAAAAAAAAAAAAAGTATAAATGGGTAATGATAATTTCTATTGTGCTAGCAAGGATGAGCTATAGATCATATTTTACTTTGTTTGATTTTCAATTTCTTTTTTGGGTCCGGTCGTGGGGCCTGAACTCTGGGCCTGGGCGCTGTCCCTCAGCTTTTCAGCTCAAGGCTAGCACTCTACCACTTGAGCCACAGCGCCACTTCTCACTTTTTTCTTTTTGCTTATGTGGTGCTGAGGAATCGAACCCAGGGCCTCAGGCATGCAAGGCAAGCGCTCTACCACTGAGCCACCTTCCCAGCCCTCAAATATTTTTAGTATACCTGCTCAACATACACCAGAGGTCTACAACCCCTCTAGCACAGGGCTAGAGGACAGGTGAGGACCAATGCACCCCCTCCCTTCCCGCCGTGGTCTACTTCTCTAGGTCGCTTGGAAAAACTCACTAGATAGATGAGGCTGCTCATGGGCACATCAAGCTCTGGCCTTTCACAAGACACCAATTGGGGACACAGTGGAGTCATCAGAGTGAGAGCAGAAGAGGTTAGCAACCTCCTTGTTCACTCCTTCCCTCACCTGCTAATTCCTTTCAGGAGGCCATAAGCACAGGATACAGTGAACTCTCTAGCCTTTGAGGACTCCCAGCCTAGTCTCCACCAGAATGTGGCATCTTCCAAGCTGTGACATTTCTTATAGCAGCTTGGGCTGCTAACTGCAGAAGGGCCGGGGCTCCATCAGCAACCCTAGTATGAGGCTGCCTGAGCTTCCTCCACACTGCAACTGCTGTACCTTGGGGGGCCATTAGCCCCTCCCCAGAACCCTTTCCCCCCAGATGTGTTCATCACACTGACTTTTGGGTGGGAGGGGAGTCAGGGAATTTTATTTCTGACTTCCCCTGCCTTTCCCCAGCAGCATCAAGCATTTCAGATCAAGGATTTATGAATCACAGGTGTGGGCTGACTCATTTCTGAAAGTTTCCAGGTTGTGAATGAAAACGGTATAGATGACAGGAGGGTGGGGGAGAGGAGAGCAGATAATGTGAGGACAGGAGGGGAGGGCAGCAGTGGGGAGGGCAGATCAAATACTGGGGAGACAGGGTGGCGGGTCTGACCTACAACTGCACAGCTAACTTACGTGGATGTTCTTAAAACGAAGATAGCGTGCAATCGCCATCCTTTATTCATTTATTAATTGCTCTTTTATTTACTTATTGTTGGTCAGTGTGGGGCTTGAACTCGTCTGGGGGCTGTCCCTCAGCTCTTCAGCTCAAGGCAAGCGTTCTACCACTAGAGCCACAGTGCCACTTCCAGCATTTTCTGCTTATGTGGTGCTAAGGGATCGAACCCAGGGCGCATGCATGTGAGGCAAGCACTCTACCACTGAACCACCTTTCCAGCCCCTAATTGCTCATTTATAACATGCCCTTAGGAGGCCCACGGACCAGGACCTTTCCCATAGGGTGCAGCCTACATGTAGGCAGAGTAGAATTCAGGAACAAAAGCTTAGAGTAACCAGCAGTTAGCAGGGCTGGAGGTATAGCCTGGTGCTAGCACACTAGGCTAGCATGTTTGAGGCCCTGGGTTTGATCCTCAGCAGCACAAAACTATGCAAGATGCTGGAACCAGGAAGGCCAGATCCCCAAGCCTACTCAAACTTCGAGCCCAAGGAGCCCTCTCCACCACCTTACACTGACCTTTCGCCTGCAGGACCACTGTCTTCAGACCCTATGTAATGCCAAGGCAAGGGGCCGCACCCTCACCTCATGCAGGAAAGCCTCCAGGGGTGAGTGATTGAATCAGAGCCTGGGACCTTTGTGGCCCCCAGGGGAACCCCGGGTCCTTCCCCCTCCCACACCAGACAACCCCAGAGCACAGGGGAGAAAGCCTCACCTGTGAATCATGGTGCTCAGGACCTTAGGGAGTGAAGAGGGGGCTCTCAGAACACTCTGAAGGAGCAGGGTATGTGTGACTAGAAGCCAGTTTGGCGGCCATTTTGTCATGAAATGAAGTTCCATGGCTTTTGGCAGGCTCTTAGGCCTCATGCGCTGTCATAGGAGCGGGTGATAGGAGACTCAGAGATGGCCAGGTCAAACACTCATAGTGGATGACTTTCAAGTGTTGACCGTTAACTTTACTGAATCCTTGGGTAATATGGAATTATAGTGTTCACAGAGACGGCCGAAAAAATTAAGTGTCTTACCTAAGTAAACACACACAGGATTAAACAAACCTGGAAGTCAAATTCCGAGGTCGGTACTCATTTTCCTCTTCACTGCCTTCCTCATTTAGAATAAAAAGACCAAAGCAAGCACAACTTAAAATTTGTTTTAAATGAATGGAAAAGTCATAGAAAAAAAGAGGGGCTGGGAAGGTAGCTCAGTGGGAGAGCTCTTGCCTTGCATGCATGAGGCCCTGGGTTCGATTCCCCAGCACCACATAAGCAAAAAAAAAAAAGCTGGAAGTGGCGCTGTGGCTCAAGTGGTAGAGCGTTAACCTTGAGCTGAAGGACAACGCCCAGGCCCAGATGTTCAGGCCCTACGACCGGACCCCCCTCCCCCCCAAAAAAAAAAAAAAGAAGAAGAGGCAATGTTTTGCTGGCCAGTCCTGGAACCTGTGTATCCTCTCAGCAAAGAGCTCCAGACTAGAGCCTCTATCTTTGTACCAACAGTGGATGGTCAGCCAGGGAGGTCCTAGTGTGAGAATCCTAGATGTACTTGAATAGCTGGACGCAGCTCCTGAATCCATCACACAGAGGAAAACGACCTCTCCAGGACCACCCGACTTAGCTCTGGGCAGACCCACCCAATGTGGGGTTTCTTCTCACTTAACTCTCCAATACTAAGGAACTCCCCAAGTTGAGGACGAGGGAATGTTGGTCCCTCTGGCAACCTTGAGATTTCACATTAAGCTCCAAAGTAGGTGGCTGATTTTGGTGACATTTGGTATAGCTACTAAGAGGTAGCAATGGATATAGTTAATCTGTGAACTCACACAAAAGAAAGGATCTGTTAGTGTGATAGACTAGAAAACAGATAAAAGTATTTATGTATTTATTTGAACCAAATTATAGGTGGCATATCTGTTCAATGTGGTATAACTGTGCCACAGTTAAATGTGGAATAATCTATATGTCATAAGTCTGCAACAAGTTCTTTGTGGAGAGGTGTCCATGAACACACTTACAATGTCTGCAAAGATGTGCTCTAATTGCTAACAAATGTTACCTGAGTGGAAGCCTTGAGGAAGCCAAGGAATGAGGATGAAGAGTTAAAAGATCTTCACTGTACCCCACCCCCACCCTATGTCAATTGCATTATTTCTGTAATGAGTGACATTGTATCGATTTACGTTTTGGGCAGTACTAGAGTTTGAACTCAAGGCTTATGCTGAGCCATACCACCAGCCATTTAATGAACTGATTTTTTTTTGTTTTGGTGAGTCATGGGGCTTGAACTTTGGGTCTGGGCGCTGTCCCTGAGCTTTTCAGCTCAAGGCGTGCGCTCTACCTCTTGAACCACAGAGCCACTTCTGATTTACTGGTGGTTAACTGGAGATGACTCTCACGTACTTTCCTGCCTGGGCTGGCAGGCTGCAATCTTCAGATCTTAGCCCTTAAGTAGCTAGGATTACAGGTGTGAGCCATTGGCACCTGCCTTGAACTGATTATTTTTGAGGCAGTCTCCTTTTCTCCCTGGACCTGGACCTGGACAGTGATCTCCCTATTTTAGGCTTCCCAACATAGCTGAGATGATAAGGCCTGTGTCACTATGCCCAGCTTCTTCCCTTCAAAATGAAGTCTGGTAAATTTTTCCACCTAGGATGGACAGGAACTAAAATCCTCCCAATTTCAGCTTTCCAAGTAGATATAATTACAGGCATCAATCAGCTTAAAATTGGCTTTAATAAAATAAAAAAAGGGGGGGGGGGGAGAAAACAGAAAGAAACAGAATCTTAAGAATTTATCTGTTTATTTATTATTTGAGCAACTACCAAATGCCGGGCATGCAACAAGGTGAAAAGTTCAGCCTCTTCCCACAATCAACATTTGAACAAGGCAAAACGAAAAAGTAAAGACGATGATCTTCATGTTTCACGGGGAAATCCAGAAGGCAAAGCAGGGTCCCCAGGAAATGCTGCACCGGCTGCCATCTTGAAACACAATGATTAATGGCCATGATTTGAAAGAGGACAAATCCATGCGAGTCTTAAAAGGAATCTCCATTGTTTCTAGATTTTAGAGTTTGAAGACAAAGGACAAGATTTGAAGCTCTTAACTACTTAACCCCACAGAGAGGTGGTTCTGATGCTCTTTAAAGGCTCTGCCCCCCCTCCCCTGTTTCTATCAGTCTATATGGCTTCCTCTACCGGGCTAGAAATGGCCTCTACCACAATTGCTGTTTTGAGTTGAATTTCTAAAAATAAAGTCATGGGAAGCCTGGAGCTGGGGAGAGAAATGGCTCTACACAGCTGTCCCAGAGATGATTCATCCAGAGAGGAAGATGTGAAGCATTTGATTGGAATTACCTAAGAGCTGAAATTGAGGGCAAATCTCTCCTTGTAGCCACTGCTGTATAATTATCATCCTAATGGAATCCTTTTAAAACCAAGGCAGCCCAACTAGTAAGTTTAATTGAAAATAAAATTTTCACACCCACTATTCTGTCAAAAACCACATTCAATGAAGACAGCTCAGCAGTGACCAAATCACTAATGAAATGCGTCTGTGTGGCAGGAGACAGGGGTGAGAAGGGGAGGGAGGGTGTTCTCTCTAGGGCAGCTTCCCAGGCTCAGTGTTCCAGGTCTGTAGATTTTTCTAAGTCTTTTGGAAAAAAATAGTGTTGAATTCTCTGTGGTCTGGTGTTACTCCTGCATCTGTCTCCTACATAAGTTCATCACAGTCTCCTGAAAAGAAGAAAGATTGGAATTTCAAAGGAAGGAAGGAAGGAGGGATGGAGGGAAGGAAAGAGGGAAGGAGTGAAGGAGAAGGGAGGAGGGAGGAAGGAAGGGAAAGAGAGAAGGAGAGAGGGAGGGAAAGGGAAGAAAGGAAGGGAAAGGGAAGAAAAAGGAGAAAAGGAAGGAGGAAGGGAAGGAGGAAAGGGCAGTGGGGAGAGAGGAGTGAGGAGGGGAGAGGGGAAAAGGGAGAGGGAGGAGAGGGGGAGAGGAGGGGAGGGGAAGGAAGGGGAAATGGAAGGGGATGGGAGAAGAGGGGAGGGGATTACTGGCTATGCAATTCTCCCATCACCAACCCAGGACACCTTGCACTTTAGGAAGATCACACTTACCTATCAACTCACAACTTTTGACAGTGACCTGCGACTGCTCTTAGCCACTTATTAGTGGTGTGACCTCTGAGTTCCTTCACATCTCTGAAGTAGCGGTTTTCTCATCTAGAGGGGAAACACAAAGGAGATTGTAATTCCCACACTTCCCAGGATGCTCCAGTAGATGAATCCTGGGTATCTTCCCACTGTGAAGAGGGATGGAGAGGTAAGCCAGGCCTGTCTTTGCCACCCACAAAGTGTTTGAACTAGCAGCGACTGCATAAACTGGGAGCCAAAGATTCATGCAGAAACTCAGCCTTAACCAGAAAAACTGATGCTGCTGGTGAGAACGCTGGGCGTATGCTCTTCTACCAGGTGACAATGGTAATGGTCCAGACCACATGCGTTTGTGGTCCATGGGCTAGTCTCTCTTTAGAAAAATGTGGTGTGGCTGGGCATCGGTGGCTCATGCTTATAATCCTAGCTACTCAGGAGGCTGAGATCTGAGGATCACACATCAAGGCCAGCCTGGGCAGGAAAGTCCGTGAGACTCTTACCTCCAATAAACCACCAGAAAGTCACAAGTGGCAATGTGGCTCAAGTGACAGAGCACTAGCCTTGAGCTGAAGAACTGAGGGACAGGGCCCAGGCCCAGAGTTCAAGCCCCACAACTGACAAAAAAAAAGAAAGGAAGGTGTGATGTAGGCTTTGGCTGTGAACTGACTCTTGTTCAGGGACTTACAATGGTCCTCTTAGACACTGCACTCACTCCCAAAGGTACAGCCCAGCTCTGGAATCAGACACTGGGTTCAAATTACAGACCTGCTAATCAGATGTCTGATTCCTAGGAGCTGTCTCAGTTTATTCTTAAAAATAGTACCGAGTGCTGACGGCTCACACTCTAATCCTAGCTCCTCAGCAGGCTGAGATCTGAGGAACAAGGCTCAAAGCCAGCCCAGTAAGAAAAGTCTCTGAGACTTTTTTCTCCAATTAACTGGCAACAAGCCAGAAGTGGAGGTATGGCTCAAGCCTGGAACACAATGGGCCAGCACTTGTGAAGTTAAATGTGCATGTGTGCTAGGACTCATTTGCATCAGTGCTGGGTCCACACCAGGGAACTCTCCCACAGTTCACAGAACAGGTGTGCAGTGTTCATTACAAAACTGGGCTGAGGGCTGGGAAGGTGGCTCAGTGGTAGAGCGCTTGCGCCTTGCATGCCTGAGGCCCTGGGTTCGATTCCTCAGCACCACATAAGCAAAAAGCAAAAAGCCTGAAGTGGCGCTGTGGCTCAAGTGGTAGAGTGCTAGCCTTGAGCTGAAGAGCTGAGGGACAGCGCCCAGGCCCAGAGTTCAGGCCCCATGACTGGACCCCCCCAAAAAAAAAACTGGGCTGAGGGAACTATGATCTAACAGTGGGGCACAGGATCCATAAACAAGCAGGAGCTATGCCAGGCACCAAGACTGGACGGCTCAAGTTTGCATGTGGCTTGAGTATGTCCTCCCAAGGCTCATAGGCTTGAAGCAGGGTTCTCAGTGCTGTGATGGTGACATCATGGGGGTGAAGCCTTCATGAGGGCACCAGAATGAAAGGTTGCTGGGACCCTCAGTTCTCTCAGGGCAGCTGGTATGAAGAGTGTGTGTAAGCCTGGCCCCTCCCTCTCCCGCACTTCCCATCTTGAGTGCGATCTCTCCTGGTGCATGCTCCCTCCGTGGCACCACCCCGTGAGACCTTCACCAGGGCGGAGCCTCCTGTCAGTGCTTTGTCCTTGGATAAAGATGATGGGAATAAAGAGAGTGAAAAAGGAAGCAAAAGATGGGTACTTACAAAGACCAGTGACAGTGTGCATCAAATAAGGGAAGCTGCTGGAAAACCCAGGTGGGAATGTTTTTACGGTTGGCACTAGCGATCATCTGGATGGATGGGGTGACGCTGAGCAAAATACATTGTTCCCATCACTTAACATGTTAAACTGGAACCCTGTACAACTATAAAATAAACTGAAAAAAATTTACAATCAACTGACCTCTAAAACTATGTGTGTGTCTGTGAGGAGGCCGGAAGCAGAAAGCTGGCAGCAGGATCTATGTTCCTAACCCCTAAGGACTTTCGTGTTTGAGTTAAAGCATTTCTTTAAAACATGGCTTAGTCCTGCAGGATTAAGCTCTAGTGCTTTATTGCCTTGCAGGCTGTATCAGTCAGGAGAGGCCATGTTATGCTATACTAACATGTATCCCTGAATTTCAGTTTGCTTAGCTGTGCTGAATAAGCTGACTTAAAAATTCTATATGTGACTGGGCATCGGTGGCTCACGCCTGTAATCCTAGCCACTCAAGAAGCTGAGATCTGAGGATCATGGTTCAAAGCCAGCCCAGGCAGGAAAGTCTGTGAGACACTTATCTCTAATAAACCACCAGAAAACTGGAAGTGGCACTGTGGCTCAAATGGTAGAGTGTTCGCTTTGAGCTGAAGAGCTGAGGGACAGCACCCATGACTGACCAAAAAAAAAAAAAAATCTATACAGTGTGACGATTTCCATTTTGTAGCTTTTTTTTTTTTTTGGTTTGGTTTCAGGGTTTGTTTCTTTGCTTGCAAACTGATGGTTTTATCTGTTCTTAAACTTGTTTATGACTCTGGGAAACAGGGATAAGTCCTAGGCACTAAATATATTGCACTTGATGAGTCAAATGGACCTAAGTAAGAAGTTTTTTTAATATATATGTATACATACATTAATGTACATATGTATTTATTATATGTATGCATACATGTATATATGTGTACATATGTGCGATGACATATTTTATATATACATAGAATATATATGCGCAGTTGCTGGAGCTCATCTCAGACTCACTGAGCTAGAAAATCAAATGGAAGCCCAGGCACCTGCAGTTCAGCAAATTTCTCAGGTAATCATTTGCAAAAGAAAGTGTGAAATCCAATGCCATAAAAAGGACTTGAGAAGGGGGAAAAGGATGGCTGGAGGTTAGATCTAGGGGGGACTGAAGAAAGGAGAGTGGGGAAGGCTCCCTCTGTGTGTGTGCAAATGTGTGTGTGCACGCGTGTTCCACCAGGAGAAACAAACTTACAAAACCACGACTCACCATCTGCAGAGCCCTTCTTCCAGCCCTGGCCAACAATGCTCACACTCCATCGGACAGCGTTCACAATCCTGATGTGCAGGAGGAGTTAACCTTTCCCACACAGCGAGGGGCGGCGCCTGACGACTTGGCCATCGCTGTCAGGGACCTGAACGGCAGGAAGGAACAGAAACATTGCTGTCATCCAGATGTGTATCAAATGTCACAGGCTCTACCTTAGCTAATTCCGTCAATGAGCAGTCTCAGTTTACCCAGTGGATGAAAGTTTTATATAGTTTCCTTTTAATCATACTTAAAATTGTATGCAGGGTGCCATGCCATGTTTTGAAGTTCAGCTGTATGTTGGAATAACTCGATGTGGTTAATGAACCTATGCATTACATCCCGTGGTCATCGATTGCATCTACTGCCTCAGCAGTTTTCAAGAATTAGAGCTGCCATGATGTTCACCAGCTTTCTTGAACTTACAGCTCCTGCCTAACGTGAAATTCTGTGTCCTCCGACACAAACCCTCCCATTCCCCAACAACCCCTCGTACCATCCACCTTACTTCAATGAGATCAAGTGTTTTTCCATATTTTAGATTCAACATGTGAATAAGATCACATCATGTTTATCTTTCTGTGCCTGGTTTGGGCTACGTGTATCAAATACACATTCATACACATACACACAAATGAATATATATATATATATATATACACACACACACACACACACACACACACACACACATAACACATGAATATGTTACATACATGTATTTTTACATCTGTGCAATAATTAGAGATGCCGCCCAGCAATGAGAAGTCATATAGACTGTCGTATTGAGGGCGGGTTTCCAAGGCCCCAGGAAGGTAGGTAACAGTTGGAAAAGGAGTCAAGTACGTACCCAAACCTCCATCCCCCCAAATCTCATATCAGTCCAGTGGGTGAGAGTACGTTCTACCTCATTCTTCTGATGAGGAAACAAAAACAAAAACTGAACCTGTGATTCGCCTCAAATCCTAGGAGATCTCACCCTGACCTGGCTGACCTCATGGCTCATACCAGGCTGCCTTAAGAGTTCATACGTTCTTTGATTAGGTGCTGGTAGCACATTCCTATAATCTCAGCTACTCAGAAAGCTGAGATCTGAGGATTGAAGTTCGAAGCTCAAAGTGAGCTTAGGCAGGAAAGTCCATGAGACTCTCCAATTAACTAGCAAAAAAAAAAAAAAAAAAAAAAAAAGCTAGACTGGAAGTGTGGCTCAAGAACAGCAGCCAAGCAAGACAAGAGAGAGTGTGAGGCTGTGAAGTCAAGCCACAGGACTGGTACATACACATCAAGTTCTGCAGATGTAAGTAGGGAAGTTGAGGGGGTGGGAGTCTGTTCTACAGAGGGGGGCCAAAGATCTTTCTAGTTAAGAGGAAAACCCAAATTATTTCAAAACAAATCAATTCATGAGCAATACATGGTTATTAGGAAAAATAAGTAACAGATAAAGAAGGAAAAGAATTATAATTCCATTACTACTCCAAATGATTTACCCAGTCAAATACATATTTTCTAGCCTAAAAACAAAATGATATAATTTATGCAGGTTTATCAAAGTTGTACAATTTTAATATTTTTTTAAACATGGAGGCCTAGTGGTGCTTTCCCAGTGCTAAGCTGTGCATTCTCGCTGGTACATACACTGCTCTGCAGGTTCCAACAGAGAATGCAAGCCTTTCACCTTTTCTTTTCTTTGTTTCCTGTGAACTGTGTCTCTGCCATCAAGGGATTTAGAAAGGGTGCTTTACTGAGAGGACTTTGTAGAAATGCTGTATCTTGGTGCAAAATGTGGCCTTGAAAATTGGATTGGTTTCCACTTCCTGATAGATGAAAATAAAGAATAGGTTTTAAAGCAACTAATACAAAATGGTTAACATTATTTTATCTTAATGCCAAAGGGAAACACAGCTGGGTTACGCATAGGGCCAATGGCATGACCACCCTAGCTCCCCACCCCCCATCCAGTCAGCTCCATGACAAATTCTAGCTGGGAGAGTGGAAAATAGCCTCCTTTGCTCCCCCTCTGGTGCTAACGAGGCTCCCTATGGAGACATAATTAATTGCATTCAATTAAGAGTCTTGTACACTTGGCCTTGGCTGCCAGGCACCGGCCCTGTGTCCATGGGAAAGTAGGTAAGATAAGCAGCCCGTTGATGATTGAAAGACGTGTATTTCTCTTAGCCCTTCCATCCTACACTCGTCCTCTGTGCGATCTTCTTTTAAGTTAGGCCTAATTTAGGCACACTGAAATGTCCAGTTTAAGATTTGACAAATGAACCCACCCAAATGCACCAAAGCACCAAGACAGAACATTTCCCTCACCCAAAGGTGTCCTTGTACATTTCCCAAAGGTTTCTGTCCACTTTCCAGGGTGACCCACCATGCTGATTTCTAACACTGTATCAGTCTTGAATGTTCTAGAAGCAGCTATAAATGGACCTTTGTTTAAAATGAGCATGGCCAATGAGCAAGAACAGACAGCATCTAATGGAAAGGCAGGCAGTGTCTGCACTTTGGAAAACAAGAAGTTCTGCAAAATGGTGATAAACAATTAGCATACAACCCGACAGCTCCATTTCCAGATGGGTGCATACCTAAGGCCAATGAAAGCACAAGCCCAACAGAAACCTGTGCATAAACCTACATGAGCAATAGAGTCCAGTTGATAGAAGCAGCCCAGTGCGAAGGAATGAAGAAATACAGTAGGCTGCACCCACCCAATTGAGTATTTTTCAAGCACACACACCAAAAAAAGGAATATGGGCTGGGTGCAGGTGGCTCACACTGTAATACGGCTGCCACTCAGGAGGTTGAGTGTAAAGTAGATGTCAGAAAAGCTTGTGAGATACTACCTCAAAAATAATGAGCAAAAAGCAGGAATAGAGGTGCAGCCCAAATGGTAGAGTACCAATCAGCATAGCAGATGGAAGGCCCTGAGCTCAAGCTCAGTATCACTCCCAAAAAGGGGGAGGAGGTAGGGGGATAAAGTAATGTATGAATTGAGCGAAAGAGGCCAATCACAAAGGACTCTGTCATACGATCACACGTACGTGAAATGCCTACCAGGCACCAGCCCATACTAAGGGAAAGGAGGGTCATGGGTGACTGAGGAAGAAGAGGAATTGTGAGGTGATAACTAAAGAGTACAGACCTTCCTTCTGAGGTGACGAAGATGTCCTAAGAGGGAAATGTTGTATGGTAACTTCTTTCTCAAAAACAGCAATTTCGAAAAGAACTTCGAGCATCCATAAAAGGGATGGATGGGTGGAGACAAATCAACAGGCCATGCATCAGTGCATTTAAGTTTCTACCTCTCTGAATAAGTGTTTTCAGAGGTGCTTTGTAATAATAAGAAAAACTTGTGCCAAGACAGGCTGATAAATTAGTTATTTACTAACTCCTCTGACCAATCCATCCCTTGGAAGGACCTACCAGAGTCAGGGACCAGACGATGCAGTGCAGAAGCAAGCTGGGGGTAGACAGAAGCTTCCTGTTGAGGGCAGAGGCCAGGCAGGGCATGCACCCATCACTCAGAAAGGCTCAGAGAGCCTAGGATATCAGCCAAGGGGACAACAAGGAGGGCCTGAAGTCTCTCAGCACATGTCAACACAGCCTTGGAGCACACGCACACTCTCAGCTAAGGAGCACCTGGACAGAGGGATTCCTGGTACCTGTGAGGAGACTGATGTTGGCGCCCACCGCTAAGCAGATGCTGTCCCTCATCTGCAGAGCGGGTAACCTCTGCAGACAGCTGTGAGGACACGTGGGTGTGGAAAACCTTCTGGAAGTCACAAGGCCCTGCACACCCAACAGGGAAGATTTACTACTCACATCCGCACCCTTCTCTGCGGGGCTGACAACCTGGAATTTAAATCATGACAAATGCCACCACACAGGGGAGAAAACATGTTTACACCCTGAAGACTATGCTGAGGATGTGGGGAGCCGCGGAGCCCCGGGTCACCGCGCCTCTGAGAGCACCCACGTTTTTTACACATCTCCCAGTGACGGGCAGCCATGGGACAACGCCTGAAGTTCTGGCACTTGTTTGTAACTCCAAGGGCAAACTTTACACTTTAAATTACATAGGCCTCCTCAGCCAGATTTTCTTCACATAGTTTAAAGGGAAGTCGTTCAGGACCTCCACCTTTGAAAGCAATCCTGACAGGTGAGACCTGAGGACGGTAGTAAGAAAAGGCATTCCAGGAAGGTTTGAGATCTGTGTCTCTCTAGAAGTTATTTTGTCATTTTCTGGTTTCTGTCATTTTCTTATAGCTCACTGTATGTGAGCTATAAGGCAGTAGCAAGAACACTATGTGCACATAAGAGATCCCCATACCTGTGCATGGTGCGTGGGAAGGACTCAGGCTCAGTAAACATCAGCTGCTCTGGTCATCTAGGCAGGACAGAGAACTAGCAGAAGCTGCACCAGGGGGGAACCAAGCCATTATGAAGGGAGGACCCTGGTGGTCCCCATGATCTCAACCTGGAGACAGCGCCTGGTCTCTCCAGGGATATAGGCTAATGGGGGCGGGGAAGAGGACAGAACAGCCACTCAGAAAAATGACTGTATTCGGCACTTCCATTAGCTGTACACAGGGAGAATAATCCGTAGTATTCTGGGTAGGAAAAGGAATAGGAATTACATCCAGTGCAGGAGGTGCAGGGGAGGAAACACAGGCCAGCCAGGGTCAGCTGGAAGCAGAAGCAGCACATGTCAATTTCCATGGCAACCAGCCAAGCAGCTGGCAGAAGAGGCCGACCTCTCTGACTCAAGAGGCCTGGGGCTGGATGAAGCAGAACTTGGATGTTTCAAAGACACCTGCATATACCTTCTGATGTTGCTCAAGAATGGGCCTGAGAGCGGCTTGTGCGGGAGAAACAGCACTTGGAGATGACCAAAGTTCAAGACCTACCTAAGGACCAACTCTCTGGTCAAATTTTAAAATTTTCTCAAAAGAATACCAGTGCTTGACCCAGGGTGTTTACTAGTCCTTAAGAGCTATGCATGAAAAGGGCTGGGAATGCGGCTTAGTGGTAGAGTGCTTGCCTTGCATGCACGAAGCCTGGGTTTGCTTCCTTAGTACCACATACACAGAAAAAACCGGAAGT